CCACTGTGAAATGATTCAGGTACTCCATTTCTCTTAGGGCATTGCAAAGCTACCAGCCATTTTTTGCCTCTGAGCTTCATTTTAAATCTGAGGGAAACATCTCTATCTTGTCACCACTCCCTGATTACCACTGCTTTTCTCAGGAGAGCTGATTTTAACATTGCTCCACGCTAAAGTTCATTTCTGGATCTATCAGATACATCAATCATGGGTGGATGACAAAAGAAAAACACCCATGGACTTCTGAATGCGCTGCCTCGGTAAGTAGCGTTCAAATTACAAAAAGTCAGGTTTTAACTATTTTGTTTACCACTTAAATGCAGATTTTATTTTTACCCATTTGCTACTTTGCAAGCCTTTTGGTGTGAACTTAAACAAACATGAAAATCATGTTCTTTACAGCATGTTAAAAGTGCTTATATGTTAAAAGTGCTCACCACAAAGCAGACACTTCTTTGTTGGGCAACCAGCACAGCTTTTTCATGTTCTCTATGTGTCCTCACCCGCCCCAACCTATTTAGGTCAATACAAGCAACTTCAGAGGAAGTCACTGCCTGGTTATAAGGCTACGGCTTTGGACTGCAGAGGACAGACTGTGCGAGCAAAGCAAGAACACTCTGGGCCATCAACAAGCAGAGGATAGCTCTTGAATATCACAGGGGATATCCACCCGATGGCATGTGGTCCCTTTACCCTGGGGACTGGAGCAGATCCCTGAGGTCAGCCCTTCTGGCAAAGGGACACTGCTGTGTGCAGAGACCGGCCTGAGGCAGGGACCTGCCTGCACTGCACCACGGGCACGACACTCAGCCATACTCACTCCCACAGGGAACCTGGGGCTCGGCTGCAAACCCTCCCAGAGCATGGAGGGCTCATTGAAGAGGACCAACCAGCCAAAACACTGCCCATGAAGCACAGCCAGGTAGCTGAGGTGAGGGGAGCGGGACTGCAGCCGTGCTGAAGCAGGTGCACTGGGAGCAGGAGGCTGAGGCTGTGAGTATATCCCTGCCACCCTGTCCTGCTGTCTCCCCCATGTCCCCCATCCTGCCTGACACTTGTGCTGAAAACTGGCATTCAATAGGTGCTCTTCAAAACCTGTTGAGGGCTCCATTGTGCTTCTCTGTGACTCAGATTCTCGTTGTACCTGCTTTAGATGAAGAGTTCCCAGTTTGGTCAGGTCTTTCATTTCTGCCTGCTAAACCCCTCTTCTTCCAAGTGCTGTTCAGAGTAGGACCCCTTCTTTTAGAGAACAAATCTCTGTTAACAAACAGTTTTAAATTAAAGAAGCATGGGCAGGAGCAAAGAAATCAGATTAGCCTCTTATTGTTTTTATTTTTTAAAGAGTTTGGTCTACCTTTGACAGTTCAGAAAATGTCTAGGTCATTCAGAATGGCATTTATGTACCTGATTTTCAATAGGACTTTTCTTTCATACAGAACTATGCTGCTTTTGAAACATCCACTGTCTTTGTCACAGTTGTTCAAGAAGTAATTTTGGGTAGTGAGGAATGAGTCTGATTACGGATACATAATTTCATCTGAAGCTAAAGAATGTAATGAACACAAATTCCAGATAGAGCACAGCACTCCCAATCCGTGTGTCTCAGTTTCTCTGTATTTCCTGCAAGATGACAATGGCCACTTTGTAAAACGCTCTTTCAGATATGAGGCAGAAGTATATACTTCAAGGTCTAGCCTTGAAACTTCTGTGGGATAGCAATGCTCTTCTGAAGTGCCATTTAAAACAGATTGCGTTTCACTACGTGCAAAAATCCCCCATATAGATGCAGCTATATGAGCAAAAAAAAAGTGCTTTTGCCAGTATAGCCTATTTTATTTGGGAAACGCTTGCAGAAAAAGATGCTTGTGCTAGTAAAACTTGTATTTGCTGGTTATCAAAGGAGAAGCATTTCTAGTGCAAACCAGGCCCTCTCATATGTGAAGCTTTTATTCAGTTCAGCCATCAGTACAGTAGAGAAAATCCTACCTCAAAGGGATTAACATGGTTACCTAATAGATATTATTAATGGTTTAAGTGCATAAAAGGTGCTTTAGCTAAAGGTGAAGGGCTAGATCCTTTGCTAATGTAAATTGTTCATGGTCCCACTGAGGGCATGGTGGAAACACAGTGCACTGAGGGAGCTGCCTTGTGCCATCGCCTCCTGCTCAGTTTCTAGCTCAGGGCTGCACTGACTGGCCTCTCCAAGAGTGACTTCTGCCTCCTTATCCCTGAGAAAAATGTGCATAAGCAAATATCTAGGTTATAAAGGAAGAAAGAGTTGTGTCTAGGAGGACCCTGTTTGGGCAGGGAGGTTGGATCAGATGGCCCCACGGGTGGTGCCTTCCAAGCTGACCTGTTCCGTGATTGTGCAGCAGTCGGATGTCTCGGGAACATGCCGACTTACACTGCCTGAGGATCTCACTTTATCCTGTTTTCATTATATAGTAGCTTTTTATAGGCATCAGATTCCAGTCATGAGACTGGATGATTCCACAGAAAATACCCTCCGACGCTGTACTTTCTCACAGCAGGGCTCCCTGGCTAATCGTGTGCTTGCCCGTCAAGCACAAATCCCAGCCATTTCCTTCCCAGTTTTCCCCTGCATTTAATGTATGGAAAAGCATGACCCTGAATCAGATGAATAGCAGCCGGTTTGAGAAGGTGTGTGTGAAAATGTATCCTCACGCAGATGAGCTCAGAACAAATAGAATGGAGGGGAGGAGGGGAAGAGAGCCGAGTCGGGGAATGTGAAGCTACCCTCTCCCTGATAGCTCAGCCACTGTGTGTAAGCAACAAGTTTATGCCCAAGGGAAAGAACTGAAAGCTGAGGAAATATTAAAATTAACAGAGCTTTATGGCTCAATCAATAGGCCATGCTCCCTGAGCAAGATTAGAAATCAGATGGCACATTTCTTTCTGTTAACCCTGTTTGCTCTCCCCGAAGGCTCTTCTGCCTGAAAGCATCTGAGGTTTGATTAAGTTCTTCTCTAGGAGGAAGCCAGAGAAAGTCCATTGTGTGAGAACTGCCTCCAGAATGCTGTGTTGGACACGCTTTAAATAACAATAGAGGTTATTAGAGTATTAGTTTGTTAGTAATTGTGAGAGAAGATAAGTCTTCCCAATATTTGAATATGCAAATGGCTTTAGCTAACTGAGAGGGGGGGAAATGCAAAAACCAAAACATGCCACTATAGCAAGTAACAGGGATGATTAAAAATCCCCATATGTAAGAAAGAAAACCTCTACCTTGTTTTACTGTAGAAATACCTTGCCAGATTTGTTATCCCCACCGAACCCATTGTGTTTTCCCTCTTTGGCATTTCATTTTCGCTGGGGCAGTGAAATAGTTTTTTCCAAAGGGAGATGGACTGTATTTGCACCTATTTCTTGTTTGACAGTGACCTCTATGAACCAGTCATCACTGCTCTGCCTGTTGTTTTCTTGTTAGCTCTTTGCTGTCAAATTAATTACTGTGAAGTACTAAGCTTGTTGCATTCACGTGCTCTTATTAGCTCACAGGATGTCAGAGTGATTGGATTTTTAGCATTATTTCTTTTTTTACATTCCAGGCTTTCCATTCAAAACCTGTTACTGGCAGGGAGGAAATACTGTACCTAATTCTGATCTCTCATCAGGGTAGCTCCAGCGGTGCTGAGGATTTACAAAGCTGTATATGCAATTAGACTTTGTTTATATTAAACCCAACATTAACAACTAGATTGGGATTGCAATGTGACTTTGAAGCACAGCATTGAATGTCTTTCCTTTTGCAGTATAGAACAAGAAAGAAAACATTTATGATGAGAATAGCATTTGTCCCCTCCATTCTTAAATCACAGTAATGAGCTGATCCTCCACTTGACCCTCTTCACACTCTTGAGTTGCTTGTATTTGTGACAGCTAACAGCTCTCACTCGAGTGCAGTCCAGGGATCGATGAGAAGTTTTATTATTTTCTTCTTCTACAAAATGAAACGAGCAGAAGGGACTTCTTTGCTGTCATGCTTGAAATTTGTGTGTCCTGCATCTGCCCTTGAAAAGCACCATCTGCCTTGGTGACAAAGATGAAGGTCTTGAGAGTTGTCTTCATTCCTGAAGGTAGATTTTTTTTTTTTTTTTTTTTGTTATTAAAAAAAAATTAAAAAAAAAATAGATTGGATTAGAAGGGCCGGGTAGGAGGCTCAGCCCAAGGTGCTCCTTTGCCCAGCGCAGAGCTCCGGCTCCAGCGCGCACCGCCCGCTGCCCAGCCCCAGCCCCTCGCCTCTGCGGGACCCGGCACCCCAGCCCGGCTCGCGGAAACCTCCCCAGCACCCCCACGGCCGGGCGCTCCCGTGCATCGGAGCGCTGTCCCGGGGTGCCGCTGTCCCGGGGTGCGGCTGTCCCGGGGTGCGGCTGTCCCGGGGTGCCGCTGTCCCGGGGCCGCTGTCCCGGTGACCCCGCCCGGCCCCGCCGCCGCTTCCCCGCGCGGCCCAGAGGGGGCGCCCTCGGCCCAGGCTTGCCCTGTGGCGGCGGCGGCGCGCGCGGGCCCCGCGCAGGTGAGCGCGACCCCGCGGGGCCCGGCCCGGAGCGGAGCGGCCGCGGAGCCGCCTCGGTGGAGCCTTGTCCGTGCTGCCGCCGCCTCGGTGGTGCCGCCGCGGCCGCCGATGTGCGCCGGGTTTCTCCCCCCGCCCCCTCGGCCCCTGTCCCTGGCCGCTGGTCCCCGGGCAGGGCTTCTGGCGGGAGCCGGTGGGGATCTCTGCTGAGCGCTGCCGTGAGGGGTGTCACGGCCATCCATCCATCCATCCATCCATCCCTCCATCCCCTCTGCCCCGGTGCCCGCTCCTCCCCATCCCCAAGCGCTGCCCCGCGAAGGCGCGCAGGAAAAGCCGGTCCCCGGGCGCGGGCAGGGCCGGCGCTGCTGGCGGCTCCCCTGCGGCAGTGCAGCGGTCCCGTTATTTCCCCTCCCGGCTCCCCTCGGCCGCCGCCCCGCTCCCCCTCCCCCTGCTGCCTCCGACAGGCTCCGCGTCCCCGCTGCCCCACGGAAAACACACACAGTGCCCGGCACCCGCCCCGGCTACCCGGCCCATTCAAACAAACAAACAGAAACCCGCCCCGTCACAAAGCCAACCGACGGTAAACTTTCTAATGACTTCTTCTTTCAAGTGCTTAAAAGGCAAGGAGCACCGGGGGAGGGGCAGAAGGGGGCATCCATCTCCCGGCCGGGGCGGGAGGGGGCCGGAGCTGCAGCCGCTCGGGGTCCGTCCGTCCGTCCGTCCGTCCGTGCTGCCGGACGATGGGACAGGGACGCGAGCCGGTGTGGTGGGTGTGTTTGCAGGAACCGGGAGGGAGGGAGGGAGGGGACGGGGGGAGTTAAAGAAACAGCATAGTTAATATTTCCACATCAGGAAGTTACTGTAATAGCCCAGGGGGCAAAAGACTTAACTTAAGCTCCTAAATAGTGAGGAGCCCATGGCGTCTGTTATAGGTTGGAGTTCCCACGTGGTTTTAACTCCTGTATAAAAAGTTTCAGTAGAAAGTGCCACAATGTCGTGATTTTGCAGGGGGGAAAAATTAGCAGGAGGAGATCAGAGAAGATAAGCGAGGAGCAAGCAGCTTCCCCGAGACCTTTCACTGCGGATCCGAGAGGGAACATCAGACGCGTAAAAAAAGAAAAACAAAAAACAAAAACCAAAAAGCCAAACAAAACAAAAAACCCCAAACAAAACAAAACACAGCGTTCAAGCCAGCACAAGGCGAGCGAAAGATCAAAAAGACGCAGAGGGAGACAGATTAACTGGAGCAGCAGCAGCAGCAACAACAACAAAAATCACACTTAAAATAATAATAGCAATAATAATAATAAAACCCAAACCACCAACAAGGGAGATATTGTTTAAAAGAGCAAGCGAGGGAGCGAGCCGAAGAGCTGGTCTGACCGAGTGGATCCGTGCAGCTTCTCCTGGGATCGCCGGGATCGCGCCGCTTCTCCGCTCCGCGTCGCGCAGCGTGCGGTGCCCTGCCCGCGGCGGGGGTCCCGGGCGCCGCCACCGCCTCCGCGTCGGACTCCGGACCCTCCGCGCTGCTTTGAAAATAAAAGCATCTCGCTAATAATAAGCGGGACGGTGAGGGGAGAAGACTCGCAACAGTGGAGCTGCCAGCCGCGCACCCTCTGCCCGCCGCCCCCGGCTCCCTCCCCAGCTATGCTCCGGGTCAACTTTGATGGCACGTTGAGAAGCAGCGGGCGCTGAAGGGGGACAAGCGAGCGGCGCGGAGCCGACCTGCTCAGAGACCTGCACCCACGATTGCGGGGGCGGAGTGAACGGGGGGGGTACAAGTGGTATTTCTCTCCCCCCCCCCCCTCCTTCCAGGCTATAAATTGGATTGTATATAAATCTGCTTCGTTTATCTCCCTGACCCCCCTCAATGACGCTGGACTAGAGAGCTCCTCTCCGCGGCCCGCCCGGACCTGCCGAAGCGAGCGATGGACCACGAGCGACTGCGCCCGGGGATGCCCCTCTGAAGCGACGCGGGGCACCGGGGCAGAGCGGCGCCGCCTCTCCCCTGCTCCCCGGATCCCCTCGCACCTCCGGCTCGCTCCCCGCTCCCCCTCCCTCCTCCCCGGGCTCCGCAGCCACCCCCTCACCTGCTGCCGTCCCCCTCCCCCGTGGAGCCGGGCTCTCTCCGTGCACGCCAAGCCTGTTCCCCCCCCGCCGCCAACTTCGCCCTCGGTGCCTGCGCGTGCAGCCTCCCCCCTCCGCCTCCCCGGCGGCACACGCCGCTTCCCCGGGCGCCCCCTCCCTCCGCCGCGGCTCCCCCCCTGCGCGGAGCGGTTGCGGCCCCCCAGCTTGGCTGCCACCGCCCCCTCCGCGCCGCGGAGCGCTCGGAGCGGCGCTGCCTGCAGACGGGCTCCCTGCGGCGCTCCGGGGCGGCCCCCAGCTCGGCCCCCCGCTCCTCCGCCATGGACGGGGCGGCTCGCCGGGGGGTGCTGGCCGCGCTGCTGGCCTGCGGGCTGCTCCTGCTGGGCGCCGCGGCCACCCCGACCCCGCCGGCCCCCGCCGGCGGCTCCCCGCAGGACACATGCACCTCCTGCGGCTTCCGGCGGCCCGAGGAGCCGGGCAAGGTGGACGGGGATTTCCTGGAGGCGGTGAAGAGGCACATCCTGAGCCGGCTGCAGATGCGGGACCGGCCCAACATCACGCACGCCGTGCCCAAGGCGGCCATGGTCACGGCGCTGCGCAAGCTGCACGCCGGCAAGGTGCGGGAGGACGGCCGCGTGGAGATCCCCAGCCTGGACGGGCAGGCGAGCGCCGGGCCCCCGGCCCACGACCCGGTCTCCGAGATCATCAGCTTCGCCGAGACAGGTGGGCGCCGCCCGGCCGCGCGCCCCCGCCGCCCGCGCCCCCTGCCCGACCCGCCGCGGCCCCTGCCCTGCCGCGCTCCCCGCTGCCCTGCCTCGCCCCGTCTGTCATTCCCCCCGCTCGACCCCTGTCAGTCCCCCTGCTCGACCTCTGTCACTCTTCCCTCTCGCCCTGCCTGTCCTCCTGCCCACCTTCTCTTTCCGCCTGCCTGACCCGTAGCAGTTCCCCGGCTGCCCTCGCCTGGCCCCCCTGCGCACCCTGCCTGTCCTCCCGCCTGTCCTTGTGCCTGGTACGGGCACCTGGCCGCCCAGCTCGCCCGCTTGTCCTCCGTCTCGTTCGCTCTCCCCTCTGCCCCGCACCGTCTCGCTCCGGCCCTGCCCGCGCTTTCCCGTCCTCCCTGCTTGTGCCCCTGTGCCCGGGATTCTCCCCGGGCCGTGCCTTGCAACTCCCCTCTCTTGTCCCTCCATCCCTCCGCGGCCTCTGTGCCCCCGGCTCCCCTCCGGCTGTCCTTCCAGCTGCACCGGGGCTTGTCTCTGTCCCTGCGTGTCCCACTGTCCCTCCTCTGCCTGTCCCGCTCCATCTCTTGCATCCCTTGCCTTGTCTGTCTGCCCTGCACATTCATCTGGTTCACTGCCTGCATCTGTCTGTTGAGGCTTGCATTTGCCCATCCTCTCTTTCCGTTTGTTTGCCATTTATTTAGCTTTCCTTTGCAGTATTGGCCTTGTCTGTTTGTCCATTGCATGCAGTGTCCTATCAAGTGTGTCTGTCTCCTGTCTGTCTGTCAGTCCGTTTACTAGCTGCCCTCCATCCCCACGGTACCAGCCATCTCAGTCCTGTCCAGCCATTGCAGTTACGTGTCACCCAATCCCTTCAGCACAGCTTTCCAGTAGTTTAACCACTGTCCCCGGGAACTTTGCACATCTGGCTGGAACACCATCACTCTGTGAATTACCTCTCTCCTGTCTATCTGCCCATCTCTCCTTTCCTTCATCACTCTATTGCTCGTTTCATTTTCCTCTCTCTATCTTCTTGTGGCATCTATATGTCATTTGTCCACAAAATAAATCTCTTTCTATCCTGTATGCTGCCCACTCATCTTCTTTATCTACCCTCCCACTTACCAAAGGCATATACATTTACAGTATCTATGGGATCTGTTGCATTATACATATGCTTGTTATATTCACATACAAAATTTATGAGCGCACACAATCTCACACAACACAAGTGATGTGGATCGGTGCAGCAGCACCGTACTGTTCTTTTTCTGTCACTGTCACCACAGTTTACGAAAAAGTTGTGTACTTACTAACACGAGAAAGGCTTTCTTACTGTACATTTTGGGGGTTATTATTTTTTAATAGGATGTCGTTGGGAGATCGGGGGTGGGCTTGTACTTCCATTTGGTATTCAGTCAATCGCTGTCTTTTGTAACACTTCCAAAATTGACTTTATGTAAAACGTAGACAAACACAGTGAAAATTTTTGTCACTGAACTATTACAAGGTACTGAATGGGCTCTGGAGGCACATTTGAAAGGCATCTAGGGTAACAAATGAAGACACCGACTACGCAAAAAATCCCATTCAGAGATTGACAAAAATGCTAAAGATTCTTAGGGAAGGAAAAGGCAGAAAAAAAATCTACATTTAGCTCTGTACAGACGGAAGCAAAACCGATAAGGGCAGATGAGAAAATGCCTTTCCAGCAATAATTTTAAATAGCAATTGGGATGCTTTGATTCAGGGACCAGAATTACGGTCTCCGCCATAAAGGCCGGCACATTTATCACCTACGCCAAATTTAGTTAGGACTTTCATTACAAAATTGCAGGAAGGCCGCTGGTATTTCTGAAATGTTTCATGCAGCAGGCTCTTCTGTTTACAAATAAGGGGTTATGTCAGACATTTGGTGACATTTGGTTTTCTGTGACAATTTCTCTCCTTTAATTCTGGTGTTGCTGAAAAGCGTATTGAGAACAGCCAATAACGGCATTACAGCGGGAACAACCGCTCCATTGCCTTGCCTCGTATGGGAGCTCATCGTTCTGGGGAGAAAAGGCAGAGATTGAAATGATTAATAATAGCTGATATTCTACCAGACTAAGTGGGGGCTAGCTTGATCTGTTGGACAAGCAGGCACATTACTGAAATATTTTCTGTTCTGTCTCGTGAATCCTCTCCTTTAAACCGCAACGAGAATATGTGCAAATCGAAACAAAATCCCTGGTTTGGCATTGGCGTTTTAGTGGTTATTGAAAGCGCTCTCCCCATGAGAATTGGCAGGTAGCTGAAAGTTAAAACTATTCTTAAACTGATGAGATAGCAGAGTTCTAGTCCTAGTGCCGGTCTTTTTCAAAGTGCCGCTGCAGCATCTTTAATTCTTGCTTTCTGGAAAAAACATATATTCTGTAAAACCCTTACTGATGTCTGTGGATCTGACACATCCGACTACAGCCCGATGTTGAAGGCTGCTGTGGGAAGTCCCCTTTTCAATTAATTCTAATTGCAAATTGGGGGTATCTGATGCAGTGCATGCCTTCTGACTGGCACAGCCCCTGTCACTGTTCGCTCGATCTGCTGTGCTCTAGTGTTGTCCCTGAATCCAGAATGGCACACAAGCTAACATTTCCTTTTTGACTTAATCTTGCTGATCTCTCCTTATCTTGCAGACGATCTGGCCTCATCTAGAGTCCGCCTCTATTTCTTCATCTCAAATGAAGGGAACCAGAACTTGTTTGTCGTTCAAGCCAGCCTGTGGCTTTACTTGAAGCTGCTTCCATATGTCTTAGAGAAAGGCAGCAGGCGAAAAGTAAGAGTCAAAGTCTATTTCCAAGACCCGGACACTAGCAACAAGTGGAATGTGGTTGAAAAGAAAGTTGATCTCAAAAGAAGTGGTTGGCACACTTTTCCCATGACAGAGGCGATCCAGGCTCTGTTTGAGAGAGGAGAAAGGAGACTGAACTTGGATGTTCAATGTGAGGGCTGTGAAGAGTATTCAGTGCTGCCAATTTATGTGGACCCCGGGGAGGAATCCCACCGGCCTTTTTTAGTGGTGCAAGCCCGCCTCGCTGATAACAAACACAGGATCCGGAAAAGAGGCCTGGAGTGCGATGGCAGGACCAATCTATGTTGCAGGCAACAGTTTTACATTGACTTTAGACTCATTGGGTGGAATGACTGGATCATAGCTCCATCAGGTTACTATGGGAATTACTGTGAAGGGAGCTGCCCGGCCTACTTGGCCGGTGTCCCGGGGTCGGCTTCCTCCTTTCACACCGCTGTCGTGAATCAGTACCGAATGCGGGGGCTGAACCCGGGCACCGTGAACTCCTGTTGCATTCCAACCAAACTTAGCACAATGTCAATGCTGTACTTTGATGATGAATACAACATTGTGAAAAGGGACGTTCCCAATATGATTGTGGAAGAATGTGGTTGTGCTTGATTTAAGGTGTGTTTTGGGGGGGGAGAGAGAGAGAGAAGGAGAGAGAGAGAAACATTCCCGTACAAGATGGTGTTGGAGGAAGTTTCACTGTGTATCCAGGCATCAGTGTTGGAAAGTCACTGTGGAAAAGTTTGACAAAAAAAAAAAAAGAAAAAAATAATCATTTCACTTTGGTGTCAGGACAGTGGCAGTTTGTGGATCATGGACACTTATATATTCTATCACTTATAAGTTAATGCTATGAAATATCTTAAAGACACACACACTCACGAAATGTGGGCACGCACACAAACACGCGCTCAGACACACAGACACACAGAGACACACAGACACACACACACGAGGCAGCTCAGAAAAGGGACATGAGCACAGAAAGTCAGTGACCAGTGACGATGGACCTAAATGCCTGCCAGTACGAGTGAACAGCTGAGCAGCTGTTTCCCCGCCTGCCGGCAAAGCCAGACCGAAATGAGCTCCCTTTGCTCAGGCAAAAGCACAGACTGTGAGAACACAACGTATTCTTGCACGCAGGTGTCAAAAATGACCAAACTTAGAAAATTAAAAAAAACAAAAAAGGAAAAAAAAAGTCGACTGTCACCTCTTAGGTCTAACAGGAAGCTGCAGGACACCTGCCTTGGGAGGCGATCACTTCCTCTTAATTTAAATTTATCTAAACATAAACATCACAGATACCCACTTCTTGCTACAGCACTTCCAGCAAGGAATCCTGTGGTTCCATCGGGGGGAGAGAGAGAGAGAGAGAGAGAGAAAAGGGGACAGACATGTAAAAAACTGCTGTATTTCTAACACCTGGCCGTTGCAGAGTCACAAGCCGGGCTGGCGTGATCCGATGCTTTTACTGCCCACTAGCAACCCATGGTTGGCTACACCCGCCGTGTCTTGGAAAAGGGAATCGATACCATATCTGGACTGTGTTGACTGTTGGCATCTCTCACTGTGCAAAGAACAAAAAGTCAAAAGTTGCAATCTGTGTTCTTCAGTGGGGGACTCGGCAAGGCTACGTCACGTGGGGGACGAGCAAACAAGCAATGGCCACCGCGGCTAAACCAATGAACCCTAAAGAGGAGTGACAGCGACAGAGTGGAGACGTTCTGGGAAATGCAGTGCATTTAATAACAGGCGAGGAACATTTTT